AAAAAAAACTCGAATTTTGTTTCGTTTCTTTTCTATACATAACAGAGTTAGAACTTTGATGACTGATATTGGTTCCATTTCTGATTGTTTGGAACTTTAGCACCAACGATCAGACTACGTTCTGGATAAATATTTCATATTAATAAACATTTTACATTCAACACTAATATAAATAATGTTATTTGATGTGATCAACTTTCAACATGATTCCCTAACATATTCTATCCCAAGATATTTTTTCAATTAAAAATTAATAAACAATTGTATGAATTTCAATCAATAGAAAAAGAACAACAAAAAATAAATAAATTTACACCAACTAATGAAATTATTAATAAAAGATATCATTCACAACGTATGATTCATCATTCACAAACAATTGAATCATTTGTATTTCTTCCTGAAATTTTAAATTATAATAATAATTTTCAACAAATAAATTCATCTAATAATAAATTACAATTAACAAATTCTCAACCAATGGAAGAATATTATCATATATTAATAATATTTCAAAAAATTTCTCAATTTTATCAATTACTTATTGATGAATTATATGGTGTTCATATTGTACGAGATTCACATATTCTACAACCAATTGTAATTAATATTATTCGATTACTTTTATTTATTGCAGATAAATTAAAACAATATATTAAAATTAATTCACCAATGATAATTAATGAAAATCATTTTCGTATAAAAGAAAATGAAGAAATTTGTCGTATAGAAGAGAAAGAAATGTTTACAATGAAATCAAAATTTCAATTAATTGAAATTCATCCAACTAATATCGATACTTTAACGTCATCAAAATCTTCGAATGATAAAAATATTGAATATGTTCGAAATGATAATCATTCATTAAATATAATACAAGATGATCAAACGAGTTCATTAGATTTTGATGAAGATGAATTTTATCGTTTAGCTAATCTTGAACGAGATGATTAAATTCATATCTATATTAATATACGAATAACTTTGTTTTGTTATTCTATAATTGATTAATCACAATTCTTGCCGAATATAAATTTCACTTTTAATCCTATTTGTATACTAATAAAACTAAACAAACTAGAGTTCTGCGGGACAAACTTTTCGAGTTCGGAATTTTGTTTCTCCTCTCCCATGATTTTATAACAAACACTATGAATTAATAGTAATTATGTCTATTACTAACCCCTTGGGGAAAGCAGTTTCCACTTGGGAAGGTTCAAATCGGTTTTCAATGAAAGGATGCCGATCATCCCTCTCTAGTTGCCTGGCGACTACGCTACCATCACTAGGTTCGTATGATACTCCTATGACATAGATGAGCCTATAGACCATGAATCAATTGTTTCAAACATAAAAAGAAAATTTTCTGTCCCATCCCATGGAACTTCACGCTTCTCAAATATCAAAAAAAGATTTCTGAACACATCTATCGTTTCCATTATTACTACAAAATTTTACATCATTTCATTATATATTTCATAATTTTGCCACAACCAAGTTCACACTTCGACGAGAAAAATATCTATTTCGAATCCATTGGGTTGTTCTTAATAAAAAACAGAAGATTGTTGGAAAAAACGTTTATGTCATGGGGCTGTCCCATCTCATGCGGAGCCCTGCTCCATACTGCTTCCTGGAGTCTTCTGATGAAGGATAACAACTACTATCAATTTCTCGTGAATTATCTTGACATGAATTCTCTCTTTACTAGTACATTCTGGTTCTGTACATCATCCATATATATATATATATGCATACATTGTCTCAGAATTTCAAAACATTTTTTTGTTCCAATAATAGCACTCGGCTTCGCCTTGATATGTCAAACTAGAGCAAGCTTTCAGTCCGTGTTTTATACTATTTTTCGGTGGACGCCCCATGGATAAAATATTGCTTACAGCTTATTCATAGTTCATTACGGTTTTCAAATTATATCCAACATCTGTGCGCAATTTTTGTCGAGACAGAAAATTATGACTCCAAGATACTAAATCTCGCTTTTCTCAGCACAGAAATCAAATAAAAAAAAATCTAATTCATTTTCATTTAGATCTTTAAAACAATATATTGGTTTGATTTTGAATCATGTGGAAAGAATTTCGATTTTTCTGTTTGAAAAAAACTTAGTAGTAGGGTCGAAGTTTCTTTTGATGTGTCTATTAAAATCTGATCATTAGGTGAAAAACCGCATATATACTCTTAAAGGGGAAGGTTCAGTGTATCTTTCTATAATGAAAAAATCAATACCGATATTTCTTTTTGAAAAATTGGATTTTCTAAATCGTTCTACGTTTATTAACGTATAAAACTTTTTCTTCTAGATGTTATTGATTATTTTTGTTATAATCCTTAGTATATCCTTCAGCGAATGTCAAACAACGGCTGATGATGATTCAACACGTCAACATGATTTTCAAGCTTGTATCCTTTTTTTTACTTCTGTTGTTTGTTTTTTTTTCATAATAGCGGGAGTTTTTTGTTTTCATTCTTTAATTACTTTGCTTATTTTATACAAAAAAAATATATATATAGAATGTCAAATTCAAATAAACAAATTAATTTTATACCATTTCTTGATCAAAATTATGAAGATATTCAACGTGAATGTTTAGAAAAACAATGTTTATTTATTGATACAAAATTTTGTCCACAACAAACATTTATTATTGATAATGAAATAAAAAAAAATATTATTTGGCAACGTCCATATGACGTAACTAATACACCAAAATTTTTTGTTAAAACACCTCATCGTCGTGATCCAAGTCAAGGTGAATTATCCGATTGTTGGTTTATTGTAGCTATTGCTAATATAACACTTCATCAACAAATATTTGAACGTGTTGTACCATTAAATCAAACATTTGATAAACAAAATGGTTATACCGGTTTATTTCATTTTCATTTTTGGCAATATGGTTCGTGGTATGATGTTGTTATTGATGATTATTTACCATTTTATAAAAAAACAATTCAACCATGGTGTTCATGGAATCGTCAAGAACTAAATGAATTTTGGGTTGCATTAATTGAAAAAGCATATGCGAAATTAAATGGTGGTTATAGAAATTTAATTGGTGGTACACCTATTGAAGCATTTACTGATTTAACAGCTGGTGTTGAACAACGTTTTAAATTAAATGAAACAATTAAAGAACGTAAACATTTTTTTAATTTTCTCATTGATAGTTTAAAACATTCATGTCTTATGGCATGTTCAATTAATCCAAAAAGTGATGGATCAGATTTCGAAGAAATTAAACCTAATGGTCTAGTTGTTGGTCATTCATATTCAATAACAGCTGCACAATATCTTCAATATAAAAAAAAATTATTAGGTATGATACGTCTACGTAATCCATGGGCTAATGAAATTGAATGGGCTGGTGCTTGGCATGATGGAGATATTAGATGGAATGATCTTGATTTAGATGAAAAACGAAGAATGTCATGGCAAGATTCTGAAGATGGAGAGGTACAAAATATTATTTCGTTTGCATATTAAATCTATAATCTGAAGGAAGATGTCTTTCTTATGATATAATGAAACTTAACTCAACAGAAATATTCTATCTACTTTTACAGTTTTGGATGACATTTCAAGATTTTTTTGCTGAATTTGATATTCTTGAAATTTGTCATCTATCACCAGATACATTTAAAGAAGAATTTCATCTTAATACAAATTCTTCTCAAGTATCATCTCCTATAAATAATGAAATAATAACATCATCTATAATTAAAAATCATCAAACATCAATACGCATGTCAATACCAACATGTTTAATTACAGATTATTCACCTATTCAATATAAAACTTGGTCATGTTTATTATTTGAAGGACAATGGATTAAAAATTTTTCAAGTGGTGGTCGTTGTATAACAACATGTGAACATGGATGTAATTTTTGGAAAAATCCACAATATGAAATAGAAACAAATGCTCAAAATGAAACAATTAAATGTGCTATAATTATATCATTAATGCAAAAATATAGTCGACTTAAAACAATAGATAATCCTATTGATCGATATGATTATATTCAAGTAATTAAAAAATTAAATCTTAAACAAAATTTTCTTTTGTCTCTCAGGCTCGAATTTATAAAATAAAAACGAATAATTCAACATCAATATCATTGCCTTCACAATCTCATGCTCATTATATAAATATAAAAACATATGGAAATGATGATTTAGAATATATTGGTTATACAGGTTCATATATTAATCGACGAGAAGTTACTTTATATTTACGTGTACCACCTGGCAAATATCTTGTTATTCCGAGTACTTATGAGGTAGTTAAATAATTTAAACTTTTCAAAATACTTGTATCTCTAATTCCATAGCCTAATCGAGATGGTCATTTTCTATTACGAATTTTTTTGGAAACAAATTATTCAATTAAACAATTACCAACAATTCTATCTTCTTCATCATTAAATCTTAATGAACAATTAACTCGTTTAACTATTTCTACTCCAATTAATTCATCATTAAAATCAATATTGATGAAAAATATTTTTTTGAATTGTTTATGTCCATATGATTGTTTATCATTTCATAGAAATGATAAAAAAAACCAAAAAAAAAGCGAAATACATATTTTTCATTCTAAATACTAGTTTATTTTCCTTAATTTTATTTTATCTATTCTTATTCGAAAAAAATAATAAAAACAAAATAGATCAAGCAATGTTCAAAACTAAACGTAAAGAACATCATTATATTATTCAAACATTAGGACAAATGCAAACAGATGTCAAACGATATAAAGCTGTACAAATGTTACTGGATCAAATATTTCAAGTAAAATTTCTAGAATGAAAAACAAAAAAAAAACATTTTTTTTCTCTATAGGTCCTTAATTCAAGTCGTATTGCTTTAACAAGTGCTGGATTTGTTCCATCAATTTCTTCTTTTCCAACTGAAGAAACAGTTCGTGAACGTACGTACATTTTATTCTTAAAATTAATTTGAGAATATAATATTTGAAATCTATTAATACAATGCCTGTAAGATTAATATTTGAAACATGGTGTAACTGTCGTTGCTAATCACGAAGGAAATAGTTCATATACTATAACGAGATGTTATTTATATACAGTCCTTGATCGTATATCAACAACGTTTGTTATGGTTTGGTGGAAATCCGAATTTCTACTTCAACACTCCTTTTAGATCGTGTTTTATAAAACAATAAAAACATAGAATAAATAGGTAGAAACTCAAAAGAACATTTAATAGGGATTCAAAAAATCAATGAAAATAAAAATTGAATTATTGTATTACAAAGATGTTCATCGCGGCTGAAAACCTGTGCGACAGCGTCGCCATGGACATCTCTCTTGTATTAACAAAGTAGGTTTAGCCTTTTTCAGCGATCAGTACTTTCTTTTTGCTGCTAATGGTAGTTTGCAATATTTCAAGTAAATAACGTATTTCAAAATTTAGTTTCTTGAGAAAAAACTAGCCAGTTGCATTTTTTTTTCTAATGTGAATCATACTCCATTTTCATGTATGATGAGCTTTGATTTATTTTTTATTGAACAATTTGACATAATAAAATCTATTATTATGTAGTAGCTGTCGTTTACAGTCTATAATTGCCCATATGATTCATTCTGTTCTGTTCGAGCAAGCAACATCAATGGTGAAAGTAATTTTTTTTTTTGATTGAATAGCAGCAAAAATACAAATTCGTTGAAAAATTTGATTGTCTCACGCACATGCAGCAACATTTTTTTATCTCAAAAAGAATTATGAACTGAAAACTATAAATTCAGAAAAATAAAGTGCTTAATAAAATATTTATTTTCTTTATGTAATTATGTTTTGGAACTTTGAGAATAGAAAAATACTATGGAAAGAAGCAAGAAGTTATGAAGACCCATAGAAAACAATTTTTCACATTGTTTCTGCTTTCCTGACTTGAGCAGTGAGTAATGCAATTCATATATTCAATGTCAAATAATTGCAGCTTTTCCTTTCCTTCGTTTTATGGATTATTCCTTTTTATCTTATTAATATTATAGAGGTAATTTTCCCTCTCGTTAGAGCTGATTGACTTAGACCCGACGGGTTCTACTCATCTGAGAAATGTGTAGGGTGTGCTAATCACCGAAAATAAAGTATCTCATATCTTCGGGTGACTATCTAATTTTGATTAGAAAATTTTATTGAGAGTAATAAAGTACAGTTCGATCAAGACCGGATCCAAAAATTTTGGACTCAACCAATGCTACTTTTCATTCATCATCATCATCATCATCATCGTCTTTCGAATATTTTTCATTATGGATTTTTTTTTTTCTTATTCCCATAAGTATTTAATGACTCATCTGCTGTCATAGATGGAAGTCAACTACTATACGCGTTAATGTGAGAATTATATTTTCACATTGATATGAAGCTTTAGATTTTTTTTTTGCAAATTTCTAAACCTTTTTTTTTTTGAAATTGAACCATTCTTTCTGTTTTAATTCTCACATTTTAAGTTTATTTAATTAATAACTTACCATCAAGTAATTTATTTTACTGATCATTTAAATGATAGTTATAATTAATTTCTATCAATATTCTCATTTAGAATTATCATTACTTCTTGAAAATGTTCTTTTTCTTGGTGATCTTGCACTTTTCTTTCCTGATGTATTTCATCGTTTTTATGATCAAGATCAACAACGTCGAATATTAACATCATGGTCCTATTCATTTGCTGCTGAAACAGAATTCTATGATGAAAAATCATTAGAAATTTTATCATTAGTAAAAAAAACTAAACTAAAATAAAATAAAGAACAAAATTCAATTCCTTTTTTTTCTTCTTCTTCTTCTTTGAATAGATGGCTCAAGAACTTAATTTAATAGAAAAATCTCCTTCATTTCACAATCCTTACGTTTTTAAACAAAAAGATCAACAAGTAAAACATAATGAATAATGACTATTTGAACGAGCGTTATATTCTTTTCTTTTATTTTTCTTCTATAGAAAAAACAATTTGTATCCGTTGAAAATCAACAAGAACAAGTACAAAAAAAGAAATCAAAAGAAAAAATCAAGAAAAAACGAGGTAAAAAAAATTTTTTTTTCTTTTTGACTGATTAATTCTTAATTTTAGGGCCTGGCTTATCCGGCAGTCGTACGGAACTGTGATCTATGATGATAAATTTTTTTCTTTCATATATATATGACTGTTTATTGATTCATACACGTTATTCATTTTTCTATTTGTTATATTTCATAAGACAAAAAAAAAAATTCAATCAATTATCTTTCTCTGTGGCAACGTGTTTAGTTGAATAGAAGTATTTCTGAATAAAATCAACATTTCTTTTTAATGGAAATCATGCATCCGACAAAGAGTATCCGTTCATAATAAATGGCTTTTCTTCTATATTGTAATAGAAATAAAAAGAGATTACTTCAAGTAATAACGAGAACTTCATTTCCTGTCTTCATATTTAAGACACATCTGTTTCTAGATGTACTATATTCTAGTAAAGACAAAAGAAGAAAGAAAAAAAGAAAAAAAACTGTCAACATTCAATAGCGATAACTGATTTTTTTTTTACTTTCTATTGCAAAGGTAGATGGAATAGAAAATCAGCAAAAAAAAAATAAAAGAACGAAAAAAAAAATTCTCGTCTATAACCTTCACAACAACTATACTTTTTTTTTTTCTGTTCTCGGAAAAACTTATATAGACATCATGCAATAATGAACTATTGAAATTTCAATTGTGTTTATTACAAAGACAAGAACAGTTGAATAAGTATAATTTACTGATGAACAAGCAAAGTAAGTTTTTCTATTAATAATCAAAGAAATTATTTTAAAAAATTAATATAGAACAAACGAATTTACAACGACGAAGTACTCATATGTCTCGTCATACAATCTGTGGTGTTATTGAAAATTTAAATGATAATTGTGTTTTAGATTCGGGTGATGTTGTTATCGTTACTTTATGCGATACAACACTTTGGGATTGGACACGTATTGATTTTCCACATATACCACAACGATTTATTGTATCCAATGTTAAATTAGATAATTGTGATTATTTTCCAATTCCATTTACACTTTATTATAATGCTGAAGAAATTGATAAAAATTTATGTTATGGTATACGATGTGATATCTTAGATAAAGATCAACAAGTAAAATATAGTTCAGAAAAATTTATTGATGTTCTTACTGATAAATATCCAAAAACAAATATAAATATTACTGTCGTACCAAGTGATGTTCCTTCAACAACAACAACAAATGACAAAACAGATGAAGATGACTAGCTAAATCAATATTAATATAAACACAGAAGAAAAAAACAATATATAAAAAATATATTTGTTTTAACTAAAAAAGTTTTCCAGATAAACGTGATTTATCTTCTTTATATTTGTCATGTTCAGCTTGAATTAATTGTTGTAATTCACATTGAACTAATGTATGAAGATTATCATCATTTTTAATATTTGAAAGAAGATATTTATAATCATTTTTTGCTTCTTCAACATTCCATACACTACCATGAGCTTTAGCACGACGATAACGAGCTTTTATATTTGTTGGATCATTATCAAGTATTGTTGTTGCATGTTCAATAGCCGAATAAAAATCACCTAATTTAAGTTTACATTGAATAAAATTGAGTAATAATGGACGACGTTGTAAATCTAAATTACACCATTCAACATCATTTGGTTTTTCTCTATTACAAAAAAAAAAAAGAAAAGCATAAACCAAAAAAAAAAATAAATCAATAACTATTTACTTGAGCATAAGATCTTCAAAAAATTGTAAAGCTTGTCCATATTTATTAGCAGCTTCTTCATATTTACCAGCATTATATAAATTATTTCCAGCTAATTTTAAATCCGGTATTTGACGTTGTTTTTCTTCATCATTTAATAAATATGTGTCTTTTTCAAATTCACCTGGACGTAAAACTTTAATTAATTCTAAAGATATTAATAAAATATTTATAGAGACATGTCAAATTTAAATATTTCAAACGACATAATAGAACAATTATAAAATGTATGCTTAATGACACTGAATAATAATCTACGTCATATATATGAATTTCAAACGACTAACTTGTTGTGATTAGAGAATGTTGTTTTCAGAAAATCACTACAAGATAAGATGAAATATTTGCAGAATCTTGCGAAATTCCTTCCGGACAGTTTACGTGAATAACTCTTAAGCAGTTCAAAGGATTCATCATCTTCCAGATCCGTAAATTTTTGCCAGAAAGACACTACACTAGCACTCAAAATTGTTCGTACACCTGATAAATGATCTTGTTTCTATAATATTTCAAGATGAGTTCAAGATATAGAGGTGCGGTTGTCATAGATTTTTTGCTGAAATTTTCAACTCTCTGAGTCCTATATTTGTTGTGCTAAACTAAAAATAGTAAAAATGAGATTCTTTGATTTGGCTCAAAATTGTTCGTATACCTAACGAATGGGACAAAATACATTGACTTCTCAGTATTTTCTTTGTAGCTTTTTTTCTCTTCAACGAAAAGACATAATTGTTTTAATAGAAAGATTCATCGTGAAATTCTCTACAAACTGGTCTACTTCAATTTGATTAAATACCTTTCATCATACTTTAAAATGAAATGAATTTGCTGAGAAACAGCAGATGAGAAGAAATTAGAAAAAAGTTAAAAATAGTTGTTTTTTGAAAGTAGTGATCATCTTGTCAAGCAAATTCATTTCATTTTGAAATATGATGAAAGGTATTTAATCAAAGTGAAGTAGACCAGTTTGTAGAGAATTTCACGGCGAATCTTTCTATTAAAGTAATTATGTCTTTTTGTTGAACAAAAAAGAAATTACAGAGAAAATACTGAGAAGTCAATGTATTTTGTCCCATTCGTTAGGTGTACGAACAATTTTGAGCCAAATCAAAGGATCTCATTTTTACTATTTTTAGTTTAGCACAACAAATATAGGACTCAGAGAGCTGAAATTTTCAGCAAAAGATCTATGACAAGCGGGCTACATCTTGGCGACAACCGCGCCTCTATATCTTGAACTCATCTTGAGATATTATAGAAACAAAGTCATTTGTCAGGTGTACAAACAATTTTGAGCGTCACTGTATATTGTGTACTATTGATATATCCTTAGGTGGCGCCACCTTCAACGGATTGTGCACTAGACTCTCATCTACAAACAAGTTAATGGTAGGCAATAGAAGTTGATAATACATACACCATTGGACAGAGAAAGCTTTTATTCTACAAGCCTACATATATCCCATTTTGTAATAGTTGCGCCTAAGTCATCTATCGTTGTAAAAGAAAAAAATACAAGTCGAATTTGGCATAGAAATGTCAGACAGAGACTATATTAGAGACAGTTGTCATTGCTTTTGCGAAATTAATTTAGTAGTAAATGAACGAAATTCATGACGCTTGTGAAAGCGTGCGTCTCCTACTTCATTTTACGAACAATAGCAAGTCGAATTATAACTTAGTATCTCCTAATGAAACCATACAAGGTGCAATTTATTTAACAATTCGACAAGATCGAATTAAACTTTATCAAACTTTAATATCAATGTTAGAAAATATATCAACAATTACGAGAACGGATTTTCTTTTTCGCATAAAATCTCTTTCCATTAAAACCTTTTATCGATAAATATAAACTATCATTTGAATTTCGTATTTCACAACAACGAATATTACAGGCTGCTTTTTTATCTATGTAATGCTGATTCGCATTATTGTAGATGATGAATTATCTTATACGTCGTGTATCAGAATTTTTATTTTTATATCTCGAATGAATCTTTTGTTAATTCTTAGGAATTTATTTTGTATAAAATATAGATAAGTTGCTTTACATACCAAATGTAAAATCGAGTGGTTCTGGATTTCGCATTAATTTATCAAGATCTTCATGACCAAGACCTTGTTCAAGTGCCATAAAACCACAACAATGATGATTTTCATGCTCATGATCATTATGTTTATGTTCTTTCATTTGATTTTTATAATAATCTCGAATTTGTTTTGCTACAACTGGATAAACATCTACAAGCTGAACAAGACAAAAGCATATTTTTTTTCATAAGAGAACCAAAAAGAAAAAAGAAAGAAAATTTCGTACTTCTTTATCCACAGAAAATTTTGCTATTTCACCTAGACGCATTGTTTTTAAACATGTTTCCCAACAATCAAGTTTAAATTTATGACCTAAAGTTATTTCCATTGGTTTTTTATATTTACGAGAATCATCAATTATTGTTCCATCTTGAGTTGTTGTTAAGAAATGAAAGAATATCTGAGAAATAAGCAAATATATATATATTATTTAATTGTTTCTTAATGTCAAACCTTCATTTCATCAACAAAATCAATTAATGGTTCTTTACTAGCATTTAAAACTTGTTTTTTTATCGGACATTTTGATGCATCTGGTCCATAGATCATTTTTTTTTGAGATCTTTTAGCAAGTGATTTAACTACTTATGTGTTGTGATGGATATGACATTATTTCAAAACCAATCATCTGTTTTAGTTATCCATCGACATCTATAAATATTTATTTTGTTCTTATTATAATTTATATTTTGAAAACAAAATCAATAAGATAATTTATAAGAAAAAATAATTTAGACAATCTATTAAATATTGTATGAAATTTGATTTGCTTATTTATTATTGGATTATAAAAATGAATCATCATATTCAAAGTACGAGAGACAAACACGAACGAAAAATTTTGCCCATCTTTTCTTTTTTTTTTTGACAGGCAGTCATGTGTAATGTTCCGTTCTTCCTTTTTTTAATATTATGATGAGTAACATTTAGTTTTACTCATATTTATTTTCTTTCTATGAAATATAATTAAATATGTCTGATAGAGTAAGATATAAATCCTTGACCTTAATATGATTGACAATTATAGTTATATGATATGTTTGAATGATATACACCTGTATCTTATATTAATTCTTGTTCGAAGATAACACTAACAAATAATCATATTATTATAATAACATAAGGTAATGTCAAATATTCTTGATTAGTGCCCTTTTTATATTCATTAATGTTCTCTTTCAAATATAAACAAAAGAAAACAAACATCTGTATTAATCTCTTTTATCTTTGATTCCTTGTAGTTATTGTCTTTTATTTCCTCGAAATAATAAAGACATTGATAATTAGGGAAAAAGGTTATTTTGATTATCATAAAAAGTATACTTGTAAAAGATACATCAACTATGATCAATATCTACTTCGCATGTGTTTCACATTCACCAAGAATTTGTATGTCAATATATGAATATATATAGAAATCTTTTTTTTTTATAATTTGTGTTTTCTATGATCGATTTTCCTCTTAAATCAATGAAATATTTCCTGTTTTCTCTTGTCGTTACTATTGATTTGACGATGATTCTTCCAGCTGTTACCACTGCGAGAAAAAAAAAGGAGCAACGTATTTATTGAGAAAAAAAAAGCTATTTCTCCTCTCTTCTTTTATTTCTCACATATATATACATACTCTCGCTTGTCTACATTCTATGAAGGAGAGCAGAAAAAGCTCAATAATACTCACATGATTCAACAAATTATATAATGAAATATTTGTATAGACTACTTACTGTGAAAAAATATTTATCAATATTATGATCTGTATTATATTCGTATACTTAATGTGTTTTTTTTAGAATATTTTTATGTAGATATTTATGTATATTATTGAATTACAAGTAATTATTCTGTATATATAAAATGAGTCAAGACGATATACTTCAATCAACAAAATCTGTTATTCAAGGTCTTGATGCGCTCAAGAATGAACATGGAAAAATGCTTGAAAATATTGTTAATTCTACACATAAATTATCACCTATTGAAACAAATAAATTAGAAGAAAAAGTTGGTTTACTTAGAAAATCTATGGATATGATTGAATTAGGTTATTATAGATAATAATAAAAATAAACTAATGAAACAAAAAAAAACAAAAATTTTATTTATTTTAGGTATTGGTGAAGCTCAAGTTATGATGCAATTAGGTAATCATTTACAAAATTTAGAAGCTGAAAAACATAAATTACGTACACAAGTTAAACGTTTATGTCAAGAAAATGCTTGGCTTCGTGATGAATTAGCATCAACACAAAAAAAATTACATGAATGTGAACAAACAAATGCTTCTTATTCAGTTGAAATTGAACATTTAAAATTTTTAAAAGATGTTAAACAATATGATATTGATAATGAAAATATCAATATACAAACAACATCGGGAACAACTATAAATAATATAAATCGTTCAAATAATGGACAAGATCTTGTTAATGATTTATTTCCATCTGATGATCATGATAATGAACAAGATATATATGGTGATCAACAAGATATTGGTGTTGGTAATCAACAAGATAATTCAAGAAAATTTGGTTCCTATGCTGATCTTATGATGTCACCATCACAATCAGCTACTGGTTCATTTATATCAACAACTGGATATGAAATACCAGCTAGATTAAAAACTTTACATAATTTAGTTATTCAATATGCTTCACAAGGTCGTTATGAAGTTGCTGTACCTTTATGTCGACAAGCACTTGAAGATCTTGAAAAAACTTCAGGACATCAACGTAAGTTAAAGAAAACAAAAGCGAATAGATAGCATTTATTTTTGAATGATGCAGACATTGTTAAGAGCTTTCGTTTTGCTATACTTATTTAATAGAGAATTTTTTGCTCTATAAAACTGTTAATTGAATTTTTTGTTCTCCGTTAAAGATAAGAGAAATTAATATATGTATATTCAATTAGTCAACTACAATCTTGTCTGTTCTGCTAATATCTATAAATTAGTGTCAGTATGTAAGCTTATTAAGTCCGATGTTAAAAACAAAACATTTAGCATGAATAATAATGTTTTCATCAGAATGTTGTTTAGAAGCAAAACATTTGAAACTAATATCTAGTCGTAGTTTTGAATGTATTTTCAAAAGTTAGATTTGTTCTATGAAGATTTTATTGTTATATCATCAAACGTAAACTTTAATTCGGAACAAATATGATATAATTTTTAAACAGGATAACGGAAATTTGTAGTTTTTTGTTTTGGAATTTTTACTTTAAGGATTTTTCGTTTCACAATCTCTTGTAAAATTTTGAAACATATAGAATTTTAGAATATATTTGAAATTTTATTAGCAGAGTTGCCATTTGAAAAAATAAAATCTCTCAACTATGTTTACACTGTCTAAGAAACCAGAAAAAAAACTGTTCCATTGTTTATGAATCACCTGTTCCTTAACCAATTATTATGTTAATATTGTTTATAAACCTATGTGACGATATCTTTGATATTATTTAATTCTTCTTCTATGATCATAGTAGAGCTTGGCAGTTTCAAAAAACCGAAATTATTAAATCTATTCTTTGTTATATACTCTCATCTTTTTCATTTCTGTCAATACCAAGAAAAAACACAGAAGCTTTTTCTAAATAAAAAAAAACAGCTACACATTTTTGAGCTTTATGACAGAATCGAACAAGTCACTAGCGACATGTGTCGCAAAGCAAACTTGTTCTGTTAAACAACAACAACTTCGTGATTGTTTAGAACAATTTCTTTCGAACTAGCTTTGATGAATTATATATGATATATACCAGTTATTTAGCGATATGCAATACACGAATTCAATGATACTGTTTTCATATGAATAAAAATCTATAACTGTCCTCTGTTTTTAGAAACAAAATCAGCTCATTTAATTACAACGCGATGAAAATATTCAAATTTTTAGTGTCTATTTCGTGATTTTCTGGACGCCCTGCATGTATAATATTGCTTTGTTTAAGTACTGCATTGGAAAGAAGAAAAAAAAAGGTGTTCTCTATTAGAAATAGACGAGACTGGTTCGCGCATTTTATGCCATCTCATGATTCTATTCATGCTGAAAGAATATCGCAGAAACGATTTCACGCTTTCGAATCGTATTCATCAAGCAAGAAAAGAAAGAAATGCCTGTAGCGTAGGACAACCTTGTCAAACTCTATTTCCTATCGGACATTTAATTTTCATGAAACAGCTTCTTAACAATTATTCAGTAAATTTCTTTTAATTTAGATCCTGATGTTGCTACTATGTTAAATATACTTGCACTTGTTTATCGTGATCAATCGAAATTTAAAGAAGCAAGTGCTTTACTTAATGATGCATTAGCTATACGAGAAAAAACACTTGGACCTGATCATCCAGCTGTTGCAGCTACATTAAATAATTTAGCTGTTCTCTATGGTATATTATTTCTTGTATTTGAATTAGAAAGAAAAAAAAAACTCGATTATTTTTTATTATTTTTAGGTAAACGTAATAAATTCAAAGAAGCTGAACCACTTTGTAAACGTGCACTTGAAATTCGTGAAAAATGTTTAGGTACATCACATCCTGATGTTGCTAAACAATTAAATAATTTAGCATTACTCTGTCAAAATCAGAGTAAATATGATGAAGTTGAATCATATTATAAACGTGCAATTGATATTTATATAAAAAGTTTGGGTCCAGATGATCCAAATGTTGCTAAAACAAAAAATAATCTTGCATCAGCTTATCTTAAACAACAAAAATATAAAGAAGCTGAACAATTATACAAAGAAGTTTTAACACGTGCACATGAAAAAGAATTTGGATCATCACCACAAGATTTATCATCATCATCAACAACATCAACAAGTAGTGGTGGTCCATATGATGCACAAGGTGGTTGGTATAAAACAATACGTGCTGATACACCAACTGTAACAACAACATTGAAAAATCTTAGTTTACTTTATCGACGACAAGGACGTTATGAAGCAGCTGATACATTAGAAAATTGTGCATCACGTGCTCGAAAAGATCCACAAGCTATTATTCAAGCACTTAATATAATTAAACAAATTAATAATCCAACATAAATATAGAAAATTTCTTATTTTTATCATAACAGTGAAATGTTCTATTATATTCGCAATATTATTTGTCTTGTATCGTTGTTATTGTCATGCACTTCTTTTTTCTCTCTGTCTCTCTCTTTCTCATTTATATTATAGTCATTTATTGATCTCATTCACTTTTGAAATTGATTTTTGCTTAATGAAAGCTGTAAGCTGTGGCATTTAACAAAAAAAACGCAGACGAACAATTTTCAATTTTAACAATATATATATATATGAATGTATAATGATAATAATAAAAAAAAAATAGATCGTCATTCCGTTTTAGATTGTTTTAAAAAAAAATAAACGCATCGGATTATACCATCGATCATCAATAGGTGAAAGAAAGATAAGAAATATAAAAGACAAAATAATACTATCAAGACAAGTATAGACAATCATAGATGGATGATGATTATTGGAATTCGTCGTCAGTTACAAAAAAAGTTAGTCAACAAAAAATATTCGATACAGATGGCAGCAATACACTTGATGTAAGTTCTAAGAAATCAATAATTTTCAATTTCAATTTTGTTTTATTTCTTCTAATCGAATTATATCTTAAAAATATAACATAGCGTTTTAAAAGTCATTCCAATCCATTGACTGTAAGTTATTGTATTCGTTTGTTCGTATATTCACGGTTACGGTGTATTTTTTCTTCATTAAATATCAGAATTTATTCTATGAAAACTAACATTATTGTTGCTTTCTTGCTCATTCGCTATTTTTGATTTCGAATAACATTTTCTAATAGGATTTTTGTTTGATTCTTAATATTATAGGAAACTCTTCTTGATTCAAGTCGTTCTACACCACCATTAAATACAACAGGAGCAACTTCAGCTCGTTATCGTCCAACAGCAACAACAACAAATAATTCACCGATAACAACAACAACAACAACAATAAAAAATAATTCACCGCTAACAACAACAGTAAAAAATAATTCGCCGATAACGACAAAAGCAACGTCAAATATTCAACCAAAAGTTATCATTCCTACATCACAAGTTTCACGTCCTATCGATCAATCCGTTGAATGTAAGTAAAAACTATGTATATAGAAATGTATGAAAATATTTCTTTTTCTCCCCGACTCTGGTTAACCTTTTTCTTTTTGATGAAACGAAAAAATGCGATAAAAAAAAAGCAAAGAACGAAATATAATAACTGACGTTTAGTGTCTGTTTTAACATCAATCTATTAAAAAAAAAAGCAAAAAAAGAAAGTCAATATTCGATAGATGAATTAATCATTATGAATAGTCCAAGTCCAAAACCATTAAAAAAATCTCAGAATTTATTACGTAAAGTTGGTCAAAAAGTTGAACAAACTTTTAATATTTCAAATTCAAATGTATTTCATGGTTCTTTATCATCATTAATTGATTTACCCGATAGTTCTTATCATAGAGATGTAGGAGGAACTCATCATTTATCACATGAAGATACAGTTTCATTACAAAATCTTCCCGAATATAATCCAGATTCTCCAAGATTAAAAATTCGAAAGAAACATGGTAAAATTATTAAACAAGAAAAAAAAACTTCTTTTTTTTTTAAAATTTATTTTAGCTGCTCGATTTGGTCGTTCACAAGCTTTAGTATCATCAAATGATACTCATTCAAATGCTCAATGGTTACCACATGCTGAAGAATATCGTATGTATTTCGAATTATATATTTATATATATATATATATAAGATAATTTTCTTTTGTAGCGGATCAAACTGCTAAAGATCGAAGTACACAATATGATAAAGAAATGGAAATTCGTTGTAAAAATTTATTGGACAATAAAGTATATTATTAAAAGAAAATAAACAACATCTCATTTATATTATAATTAATTTTAGAGTATCAAATTAGATGATATTCGAGATTGTGATAAAAAAGCATCTTTATTACGTATAGCTGTTTCATTTAATACACCAAGTGTTACTGTTCCAGTAAATTTAAATTGATTGAAAATTTATTTATATTTATATTTATATATTTTTTTTTTGTTAGGTAATGATTTTTCTTGAAAATACATTATCAAGACCATTATTCTACGAATTAATTAAACAACATCCATCAGTTTTAAATAATTATATTAATATGAACAAATTAAGATTTGAGAATGATTATTATATAGCTATGCTTAAGTAAGTTTTATATAGACAAAAAACTATTATGAATTGTATTTTGTTTTTTTTTTGTTGATAGAAAATATAAAGTTTACGGTTAGAGTAGATACTTACGTAACACATGATATCTTAAAAGTCATGATCATCTAATAAATATCGTTACTGATCAAGCTTAATCAAAATATTTTTTTTCTTTTTGAAATAGGAGACTAATTAGGAGATATTCAACAAACAAAGATCAAAAATAACTTGTTTAGCAATTCAATATTCTCTATGAGTCTTCATTCGATATAATTAATTTTTTTGTTTGAAAGAGCATGATAGAGTCCTTTTTAAGCGGAGAAAAGGTCAATATCTCAAAAAAGGGCATGCTCATTATAAAGGTACTCTTTCGTATAATAGTAACAGAGATTAATTCAAAAACCGAGTAATGAAGCTTTACATGCTCTTTCAAACAAAATTGGATGTACGATCAGAAACACATCAACAGAGAAAAATCCGAAAAAGATTTTCCATTTTATCTGGATGAGATGTTACATAAAAAATCATGTCACTTGTGAAAGATCAGACTGTGGACTACTTTCTCATGCATTTATCTCAATTTTCATGTTTTGAACGAAAATTGAGTTTTTTTTCTTCAGGGAGATCTTAAACCGAAAGTGTTACATTTTTTACGAATCAAAACTTAGTAGTCTCCTATTACGTATAAAAATGTTTTGATTAAGCTTGATCAATAGCCGAGTTATCTGTATCATGACTTTTGGGACGACACTCTGTGTACCAATAAAAGTGTAAAACGAAAATACAAAATATTGATACAGCATATGAACTTTTTTTGAATAACATTTGCTGGTAGATCAGTGCATACTTCATTAGCCGCATTCTCCAATTTACGTTATAATTTTGGACTGCTTTTTTTTTGTTTTTTTCATTTCCTATTTGATAATGTTCTATACTAGTTCAATCTACATTCGGACATACATCTGCTCTTGTGACTAGTTAGCGTGTATGGGGAGCTCAAGAATTCTGCGTTAGACTGACCTTCTGTTCAGAACTACAGCTAGTCAGCACCTCATACCGCAACGTAGTTGAAAGTAGAGTTCGGCGGTTCCAGCTTCTATTCCCAATATGTCACCTTGAGATTAAAGACGTTACATATTTCAGTACTCAAACAAAACAATATTATATATATATATATATATATATATACTGAAACCTTTAATCTTAAGAATTAAAAACTTACGATTTCTCGGAATGGATTTTCATTTATTTTTTGGGAACTGCCAAACTCTAGATGAAAGGCGTAGATATTCTTCCTTCGTTCTCTGATTTGGTGCATATTTCATTATTTTATTTATTATTTATTTGAATAGGCAATTTGGTAGAAATGAAGATGTGGCAGTAAGTAAAAGATATTGAATGAAAAAAAAAAAGGATATTCATAATTTAAGATGATACGTCTTCGACAAGCAAATCAAACGAATGATATGAATACTAAAATGGCAATATTAGATCAAGCAGCAACGTATATTTATGATTATTATTTAGATTAATTAAAATTTAATCTTGGTGTTTTTTTTTTAGTGAACTTGGATCACATCCATGGTGGCATTTACAAGTAGCTGAACAACGACTTTTCCATAAAAAACAACGAGAATTACAAAATGTAAGACAAAAATTCTTTTTTTTTTTGTTAATTGATATTTTATTTTTAATTAGTCTCAAAATAATCGAACAGTACTTGAATTATACAAAACAGTTTATGAAACAGATTTTCGAAAACAAAAACAAAATCGAAATACTGATAAATCAGTAAGATAATTTTACTTAAATGAATCATTTTTTTTTTTTATTATTAATTTATATTTGTAGACATTCGATCGAAGTAAAGAACTCGAAACAACTTTTCATGTAAATTCTTCTTTCTCTTATTAATTCAAAACAAAAAATTTTTTTTCTTCTGTAAAAAGATGTCTCCGGAACTAATTATGTGTGGTAAATTATCTGTAATTATGCACTGTGGTTTACGATCACATTATGATGATTTTATTCATCAAGCAATACATCAAGTAATTGGATAAGAAAAAAGAAAACAAAAAGTTAATAAGAATTTTTTAATTTATTAGGGTATTTTTGGTAAGAAATATATTATTGCTCCAGAATATCTTGCTGATATGGTTTATAATTGGGTACGAGCAAGTGGTGAAGGACAAGAAAAAGCAAGTGAAACAGCTGAACGATTTCTTACAATGATTCCTGATCCTGGTAAACGTATTTATTTTGCTGAGAAATTTCAGAATTATGATGTAGCTATAGATGTAAGTTGTTAATTAAAAAGAAAAGATTTTCTAAATAATTATTTCTTAATTCTTAAGACAATTGTTAATAATCTTCGTGATCGATTACAATTAGAAAATTTACGTAAACGTATGCCACATGATCATCCTGCATTTAATCGAGCTACATCAATGTTAGAAGTAAAGACAAAACAAAGAAATGTTTTTCTTTTTTGTTTTTATTCATATACTTTTTTTTTTCGTTTGTTTTCTAGAACACAAAATGGCGAAGTTAAAAGCATATGTGATGAATGCATCAAAAAAACCAATCGTCGTTTTGTTGTCAGATGATCGTATTATTATATTTAATTATTCCTTTTCTTTTTATTATGTTTCACTCGGTAATTAATTTAAAAGCCAAAATAATTTTTTTTTTTTGTCGAAAATTTTTAATGCAATGCATAAAATAAAGTAATGAACGAAATGAAACAAAAAAAAACAAACAAACGAATAAAAGTCTTAGTACTTGAATAAAACTTTTTTAAAGACCTTCAAACGCATGTATAAGTAAAGAAATTTAGGGAGAAAAAAATATTTAAAAGTCAAAGTTAATTCAATTTAATTAACTATTATTTTCTGTAGTTGTTGATGTTTGAAGATTTTTTGAAGCGGAACCAATACGTGGTGTAGTAGGAAGAGGTTCGATGGGTTTATTTTCTGTTTGAATATCAGGTGAAGCATTAGCATCAAGAGTAATCATAATTTTAGATTCATCAGTAGGCGTCATTTTAGCTGCTGAAGATGGACGTCCAATAATTGCTTGTGTTATATTCGAATCATTTGTTGTTGTTTCATTTTGTTTTTGACTTGCCGATGGTGGCCTTGAACTTGTTCGAGAAGTTGTAGAATTATTTGTAGTTGTTAAATCTATGTTTTGATTGGCTGATGATGGTCTTGAGCTTGTTGTAACAGCAGTAGAATTGTTTATAACTGATTCATTTACTTTTTGATTTGCTGATGGTGGTCTTGAATTTGTCGTTGTTGTTGTTGTTGCTGTTGAATTATTGATAGATGATTCATTTGATTTTTGAACAGCCGATGATGGTCTTGAATTTGTTGGAGCAGCTGTAGTTAATTCAGTATCTTTTTGATTTGTTGCTGATGGTGGTCTAGAATTTGATGGAGCAGTTGTAGATGATTCAACATCTTTTCGACTTGCTGATGGTGGTCGTGAATTTGTTTTATTGATAGTATCTCCATGTGAGGTTAAATCATTTGTTTTTAGATTAGCCGATGATGGTCTGGAATTTGACGATGCAACATCTTTTCGACTTGCTGATGGTGGCCGTGGACTTGTTACATTTATAGTATATCCATGTGAAGTTAAGTCATCTATTTTTAGATTAGCCGATGGTGGTCTGGAATTTATTTGAGCAGCTGTAGTTAATTCAGTATCTTTTCGATTTGCTGCTGATGATGGTCTAGAATTTGATGATTCAATGTCTTTTCGACTTGCTGATGGTGGTCGTGAATTTTTTGCCTTTATAGTATATTCATGTGAAGTTAAGTCATCTGTTTTCGGATTAGCCGATGGTGGTCTGGAATTTGATGATTCAACATTTTTTCGACTTGCTGATGGTGATCGTGAATTTGTTGTATTAATAGTATCTCCCTGTGAAGTTAATTCATTTGTTTTTGGATTAGCTGATGGTGGTCTTGAAGTTTTTGGTTCAGTATTTGTTGAATCAAGAATTGGATTAACAATAAGATCATTCTGTGTTGCTGATGGTGGACGTTCTGATGAAGAAATAACTGTTAATAGAACTGGTTCTTCTTTTTCGGTAGTAGGAACATCCGATGATATGCCATTATCAGTAGTAGCTGTTGATGTATTAGTTTCAATTTTTTGTGATGCAGATGGTGGACGAGATGTTTTATCTGTCGTTATATTATTATTTTCTATGGATGTTTCTTCTTTTGCTATATTATTAGCCGATTGAACACGAGATGATGATGATGGATTGACAGAAGTAGTAGGTGTTGACGACATATTGTGTCAAGAAGATAATACGAGAGAAAAAAAACACAAAAAAGAAAAAAACTAAAGAGCACAATTGAAAGGCTTTGCTTGCTGTTGTTAGGTTATTTCTCTGCTAAAAGATGTTGAATTGTTTCAGTTTACATAAGAAATGAATGAGCAACTGATTCAGCTTCACAACGGTACACAATAAATCTATAAAAAAAGAGAATACAAGAAAAAAATCGACTTTTTCTTTTTTTTCTCTATCGACATTCATCACTTCTTTGTGTACGCAAAGAAAAGAACATCGTCGTAAAATCTCAATGTATAATGTAATTTCAAGGTCGCATTTTGTACTATGGCATCAAATAAATTGATGTTTCATAGCATAAATTTTCTTCGTCACTTCAAAGATTATAGATTAAATAAAAGTTTGTGTTACTACTAATTTGACTCAGAAACGCAATTCTTATATGATGAACGTCCAATCATACGATATTTTTCGAATTTCATATAACTTCAAAAAAGTAAAACGACTAAGTTCGAGTAGTCTTCTATAGACAATAGTTTGTACGAACAAAGGGCATTGCAGAATATTCTTTTCTATGTTATGACTAATGTAAAGACGAAGAATGAGTAAAAAAACAAAAAACAAAAGTGATCTATATGGAATATGTAGGTTGAACCTATTCGATTTTTCTATCGGTCGTTTAAATTATTCAACAGAGCGCTTATCAAATATCATATGTGAAATACGGTATAGCTTCTCTTGCTAATCACAGTGAGATTGGTTTATTCTATCTATTTTGGGATACATTTCTTCATCATCCTTTTATTTAATCGTTCAGAAATGCAATAAGGAAGCAATTCATATATTAGAACGAGATGTTATTTACATACGATCTTTGATCATATATGAACAATTCTGTCATGAAGAGGAAGAACATTGTTAGGGCATCTGTGACGCAGAGGACGGACATTGCTAAGGCATTTGTCACAGTGTGTAATGCAGGCGTGGGCGAATGTTTTTTGTTTCTGATTTTTGATGTCTACAAAAAAAGCCTAGTTACACACAGAAATAACAAAATATTTTTGATCTTAATCAATGTTGTATAAACTTCAACAACATGTGTCTACTGATTTATGACAATTAGAAGGTTGCCCAGTTATATACTATATCTGAATGATTCGAATGGAATTTTCACATGCATGTCTTTTTACTTGTGTATCTTTTAATAACGAAGTTAATATTTTTGTTTTAGATTTTTAAAAATTATCAAACATGAATTTTGCTAGACGAATTTTATAAATCAAGAAAGAAAAGTCTCTATAGATATTTCTTCATTAAATATTGAGAATATTTTATTATGCATTATAGAAATGAAGGATTATACATAATGTATCTCGATCATTTTGTCGCTCTAATATAATATCTTTTCATTTTACTATAAATAAAATCGAATAGAGAAATATTAATTCATGCAACGACGCAATAAGAAAATTTCAAGAGTCTAATAATGTGTTTTGCACCAAAAGCTTTCGTCCAAAAAAACAAGATCTAAAATAAATATACCTTTTTTTTCATACTACCTAGACAGTATTACGATTGAGAAATATTATAGTTCTGAAACGACTTGAAATCACCTTTATATCAATAGTATTATAACTCACATAAGTCAACCTTAATATTCTCTACGGTTTCAAGTGCATTGATTAAACGTTATAAAAGCTTTTTATCAGCAATAAAATTAAATTGATAATAACATCAAGTTCTGGACAAACATTGATTATAACGCGAAAAACAAAGATATTTTATTTAATTCAAAAAAAAGAAACAATGTTAATAAAAGAAAAAAGTTTTACTTTTACTTCTTAAATTTATCTAAGAACTCAAATAATACTCTATGTTTATTCAATAAAAATATGAAGTTCTATAAATTTAATTTCTTTTACATATTGACTTTTCATAAAAAAAAAATAAAATTGATTACAATTAACTATACATATAGATTAGAAAAGTTTCATTCAAAAGTAAACCTTGGTTTTGAGAGATGATAAGATAACATATGCGAACTTAATTGTAACTGAAGGAGGTGCATTACCATTACCAATAATCAGTAGCAATGTTGAAAAGTAATAAAAACCATATAAATATACGTAAGTTATACACAACTAGGGTAGTAGAAATATTTCTAATTATCATTTGTATTTCCACATACACCCTAACAAGAGATTCATCCCATAGATAGGTCTA